CCAGAGCTGCACTGGCTACGTAAATAATTACAGTCTGTTTGTGTACCCCTCCCCCCCCGTCCGCCCCCCCTAACCAAGCTCCACCCCCCCCCCCCCCCCTAACCGCCTTTTTTTTGTACTGAGGTTCTGTTTAGTCTGCTGTCTCTGTGATGTCTTTTGCTACTGATTTAAAAAAAAAAAATCAGTGACTTCTTCTTTCCTTTCTCAACTCCTGAAACGTCTCCCAGCGTCAGGGCAGGCAGAGTTCTTTGTGCTTCTGCTTCTTCTTCTTCCCGTTCACTGGCTGTAAACTCCGGCGGAAAGTTGTGGTTGTTCGTCCCCTTCTGGACTGTAGTCCGGTTCCAGAAACTTGAGTGTTGCGCGCACAACCGTTTCACAGGTCTGACTCATTTGCATGCAGACTATTGGTTCATAGCCTCGCCTTAGAATGAAACTCTGAAAATAGTAGACTGTTACGACATGCTTTTGGGCAGGCATTAGGCCTCCCCCCCCCCTTTTTTTTCCACCCACAATGGGGCCCCCAAAACCCACACGGGGAGAAGAGATCTTTGAAACGAGCCCTTCTGTTTGCTTTGTATAAAATACTTTTCCGTATTGCAGTCCCGGGAAGTAAAGGCGGCCGGCGTGATGCTGACCACATCACCCATCTTGTGCCGATTGGTCTATAAAAATATAGGTCTAGCCCTATATGCCCCACACGCCTTAAAGCGTGGAAAAGGGTCCTTTACTTTAACTTGTCTGTGTTTCTGATATTTCTGCAGTTCATATTTTGTGTGGTCGACCTCTGGATTCTTACTGTTGTATCTATATACAATTGCTGACTGTGGTGCTTTGTCTGTTGCCAACATTGTTACATGGCCAAACCATTTCATCTGTTGCCTACAGATAAAGTTCAGTATTAGTTCTGTGCCGATTCTTCTACTCGTATCATGGTGTCTAAGTCGATCTTTCCTTGCTTTGCTTATCATAGTACGTACTTATGTCATTTCTGTAGTGACTGTTTCTTGTCTGTCTTCTGAAGACAGTGTCCATCTTTGATACTGACAGCATAGCAGTGGTGAGGATATTGTGTGGACACAAAGTGTCACCATTCGGATGGCGCAAGTCCCAGAAACCTTGTTTAACCTTTAGGTTATATTTACGGCCCCCGATGACAGCCGGGGTTCGGCTGTACAACGGTTGAATTGGGTACCTGGGACTTGCTCTCTGGCGATTCTCATCCGAATAGTGGCATTTTTGTGTCACGTGGTGTTTGCTGTTAGGGGTCCGCTTCAGGTTGGGGTGAAAGTTTGCAAGCTGGGATATGCTCTGAATATACCTACAATACCTTACAGAAATAACATGAAGCATTGTTTAAAATAAAGATCAGTTGCGTATACTCAACAGGACGTTGCAGAACTAGCCCCAACAGAGTCTGGCTGTTGTGTGGTTTTGCTAGGCAAATTTACGTCCAGTAATTTGCCATTGCCTCTGGACGGTCGGCTTTCTTGATACCACTGTCGAAACCAACGCAAGGCCCATGGCCTGCAGCTGGGATCGAACCCGGCATTAAGAAGCGTTCGCATCGACTTAGCCACAGAGCCGACATTGTTTAAAATACCAAGCCTCCCATATTGGGACAAAGATAAACTAGCAAATCCAAGCTGTTGTAGCTAACAGTTAGATGTTGTTAATGTGTATAACTATGGAGGTAACTGGTAAATGAGTGGAGTTTGGTATACAACAAGGAGTGAGACCAAAGGGACACAATTATTACCAGCATGCGTGTCTAGTTCTTAATTCTCTCTCTCTCTCTCTCTCTCTCTCTCTCTCTCTCTCTCTCTCTCTCTCTCTCTCTCTCTCTCTCTCTCTCTCTGTATGTGTATGCGTGTGTGTGTGTCTCAGCCGGAGGTGTCTGTATACAATGAATGCAATCTTGTCGAAACCCAACGCTAACAGCTTCCTGCAACTATCTTATCTGCTACCAATGTAAACATTAGCAAGCGGCAACATGGCGTCTTTGTTTCTGGCGGGAACCTGTTTCATTGGTCGGCGGCGAATAAATGGCGGTTTGTCTGGCAAACTATTGATAGTGAACAGTCATTGACACAATCGTTAACATAACATGTCGTGTTTCTTTCATTGTCTTTTCCTTCTGAGCACCACCGCCCTCGTCTCCGTCGTTCTTCGGCAAAACAGGAAGTGAAAACGAAGCTTTATGGAACTATAATGACAAGATACAGAGTAGACGTTACTGCCAAAACGTCTTCACCAGCTCCCCAAAAAAAAATTACACTTGCTTTCACATAGCATTTCTGCCTGTACCACTTGTGTCGTGCAAGGAGTGGGTCTTTTGATATCCGAGGATGTAAGCCAGCACAGCTAATGTTATCACGAACTGTACTGGCTAGGATTTTGTTGTTGCCCTGGACAGACAAACACTCACATCATAACCTCACTAAAGATTCGAATCTCTGTCACCCACGTGAGAGTTCAACGCCCTCGACCGTTCGGTCGATATATCAACAAATGACGCGAAAGGCACCTGCATCTTAAACAGTCTGTGTTTGAAGCTAGCAAAGGGTTAGAAATGCTGACAAAGAGCTAGCAAGTGGAATCAGTATCAGGTCTGCCGCATTTGCTTCCCAAAACATTGCCTAAAACTCATTTTAGGCTTGATCGATCTAAAGGTCTGGGTCATTGTTTTTAAGGTAATCCCCTGTTCAAGGGCAGTTCGAACATATGATGATCGATGCTACAAGCAAACGTTCTAACAACGGCGCCACATCGTCTTCCATGCGTCGATACCGCATCTTCAAGTTTCAGCAGTTAGAGTAGCCAGACGTTTCAGCAGTTAGAGCAGCCATAAGTTGTAGCAGTTAGCGCAGCAATAAATTTCAGCAGTTAGTGCAGCCATAAGTTTCAGCAGTTAGCGCAGCCATAAGTTTCAGCAGTTAGCGCAGCCATAAGTTTCAGCAGTTAGAGCAGCCATAAGTCTCGGCTGTTAGAGCAGCTAGACGTTTCAGCAGCTAAAGTAGCTATAAATTTTAGCTGTTAGAGCAGCCGTACGTTTCAGCAGTTAGACGTTTCAGCAGTTAGAACAGCTATAAGTTTCAGCAGTTAGAGTAGCTAGACGTTTCAGCAGTTAGAGCAGCTATAAGTTTCAGCAGTTAAAGCAGCCGTACGTTTCAGCAGTTAGAAGTTTCAGGACTTTAACTAGAAGTTTCAGTAGCTAGACCTCTCAGCATTTAGAGCAACTATAATTTTTAGCAGTTGGAGCAGCTATAAATTTCAGCAGCTAGACGTTTCAGCAGCTCAAGTAGCTATAAATTTCAGCAGTTAGATCAGCCGTACGTTTCAGCAGTTAGAGCAGCTATAAGTTTCAGCAGTTAGAGTAGCTATTCGTTTTAGCAGCTAGAAATTTCAGAAGTTAGAGTAGCTAGAAGTTTCAGTAACTAGACCTCTCAACAGTTAGAGCAACTATAATTTTCAGCAGTTAGAGCAGCTATACATTTCAGCAGCTAGAGCAGCTAGAATTTCAAGAAGACCATCTGTCCGGAAATCCACAGTGAAGTTATCTCCACCTGTGTGATTGCCGACACGCCCCAGCCTTTACTGTTACGAACAATTCTGGGTTAAACTGGGTCTCTAATGATCCACCTGTAATCCCACTCCACTACTGGCAGATGACAACACTACGATAATGACAAACAAACAAACAATTAATCCAACACAAGACTCGACTGAAACTCAACCCTCCTCCCAATGGTAAAACAAAGGCATGCAAGGAATGAGAACACTACAGCCAGATCCATCCACTCAGTGTGGATTGCTTCGTTAGCTTTAGGATTAGGTAAGACTACAGACGAGCAGATTCCGGCGGTTTGTTGAATTCTGCTGGGAACATATTAGGAAACGTGCGCCCCAGATTTGCAGGCCAGGTTATGTCTCTTTAATCCAAACATCCAGATATCTTAAGGCCTCAACTTGAGTTGATGCACGTGCAGGCTGCTAAACCAAGGGATTAAGTCTGGGATAGGGAAGTTCCAGACTTAAAACTAAATGGCTGCGGGAAGCCGGGGAATACCGCGGATTTCAGATACTATATATTTTAAAACCAGTAGTTCTCAATGGGCTTCGCTTCGGGGTCATTTGTTGATTTGTTTTTGAAACCTTTCTGTGAGTGTCTGAGGTGATACCGACAGATACAATTGGATAGCTTGGCATCATGTTTGACCCCATAGTATGGATGAATATTCTGGTATGTCGTCTTTGTCCCCTCTAGCTTTCTGCTCTACATCTGTGAACTGTTTCTCATCCTCCTCTGATCGTCCATTTTCTCTCATCTTTTTTATCTCTTCCTCTTTTTTCTCTTTGTGTGTGTGTGTGTGTGTGTGTGTGTGTGTGTGTGTGTTTCTTCTTCTCCTTCCATCTTTCTTTCCGCAACTGTTTATTTGCAGTATTTTTTCTTCCTTTCATTTCTCTCCATTCTTCCTCAATCTTTCTGTTTCTGTTTTTCTTTTTCTTTCTCTCTGTGTCCATCTTCCCCCTCCTCCGAATTCCCATTTTATTTTCGTGCCAGCCTTCTCTATTGCCATTAGCACTAACCATTTCCCATTTCTTACTGTGTTTGGTTATGGTTTGGTAGGGTTTGAACAACGCATTAACATCATATCACAGGGGTAGTAACCCATAAGTGCTCCGTTTTACTTCTAACTTATGCATGAGTCTAAAAGAATCTCAGCGTAGTACACGAACTCCGTAGCACAGGCGAGGATCCTGAACTACTTTGGGTAGATTTTTAACTCCAAATTTTGCCCGGGTAGCGCCGTTAGGCTACGCTTTTCAATTTCCAGCTGCGCAAAAATATACACGGGCGCCCGATTTTACTACTGTGAGACCATGGAAAATTACTAGAAGTCCATGAAACCCCCCCCCCCCCCCTTCCCAGTATTCCTGTTTCTATTACTAGCTCTCACTAAAGCCATTATCACTAACGATTTCCCATTATTCTATTTCAGGCGACTATCCCTTCGGCAGTAGCGATCCCTTGACCCAGGGGGTCCCAGAGTGGGAGCTGCAGCCGGAACCCAACTATTACGTGGTGCAGAACGTGCCAGTGACGATATCCTGTAGGGCCACACCTGCAATACAGGTAGGTGACCTCATTATCCGCATAGACAGGTCAAAGGTAGATCAACCTTAAACGGTGACCCTTTGCACCTTTGTAGTTCCAGAGAGAGCGAGAGAGCAAGAGAGAGAGAGAGAGAGAGAGAGAGAGAGAGAGAGAGAGAAGAGTGAGGGAAGATAGAATCATTGAGAGAGAGAGAGAACAAGAGATAGATGAGAGAGAAGATTGAGTGAAGAAAGAGAAATTGAGAGAAAGAGAGAGATGAGAGACGAGTGAGGGTAGAAAAAAATTACGAGAGAGAGAGAGAGAGAGAGAGAGAGAGAGAGAGAGAGAGCAAGAGAGGTAGAGAGAGAGATGAGAGAGAACATTGTGAAGTAGTAAATAAACATGAAAATTAATATCAAGAAAGATTAGCATGTTAGTAAACAGGAAAGGTAGACATAAATACAATTTAGACTTCACAGACAGGCAGACACAGTTGACAGTCAGAAATACAGACATATCGATGTCGCCAAAGCAGGCAAACAATTAGCTAGCAGAATAGTTGGTATATAGATACGTCGCTTGGTGGATATGTAACATCACCCAACCAAGTTCCTATTGGTCTGTACCATATCGGTCTAACCCTCTGTGCCCAGTACACCTGAAGGCGTGGAAAGAAGTTCTTAATGATTTTTTAAACTTATTTACTTTTTAATAATCCTGTTGAATAAAATGTTGCTAATCATCATCGTCATCATCATCACCACGTGTTTTGTCGATAAGCATGGGCGATGATCAACATGATTTATCTACAAACAATATGCGTTTAGTAACACTGGCGCAACAAGGGTCTTTAACATCAGTGTTCTTCAACCCGCTAGCGGCGTCGCATTATTGCACTGCAGAAAAGTCCAGTTAGCCCATTATATTTAATTATGTGACGAGATTGCGTAGGTAGTTTTTCTCTTCCACTTTGTAGGATTAACCTCTAAGGGACTTCCTATATATGTGTAAAAAAATGATTCTATTGCAGCACTTTGTCTATCGGAAAGAATGCTTAAACCACGCACATGCATATTGAAATAGTCAGCTCTTAAACAGCAGTAGATGACGCATTAGCTGAAAGTTGTAAGTTTGTGACATCGGATTTAAGTTAGTTGCGGAATACATTAGTTTATGTTTTGTGTTTGGTTAACTGTCAGATGTGACTAGGTTGAGTGTGAGCAATGTCAGCAGGCCAACATCATGTTCCGTGTGGGTGATCTTCTCATGTGCTGTGTGGCTGATCTTCTCATGTGCCGTGTGGGTGATCTTCTCATGTGCCGTGTCGGTGATCTTCTCATGTGCTGTGTGGCTGATCTTCTCATGTGCCGTGTGGGTGATCTTCTCATGTGCCGTGTGGGTGATCTTCTCATGTGCCGTGTCGGTGATCTTCTCATGTGCTGTGTGGCTGATCTTCTCATGTGCCGTGTGGGTGATCTTCTCATGTGCCGTGTGGGTGATCTTCTCATGTGCCGTGTCGGTGATCTTCTCATGTGCCGTGTGGGTGATCTTCTCATGTGCTGTGTGGGTGATCTTCTCATGTGCTGTGTGGGTGATCTTCTCATGTGCTGTGTGGGTGATCTTCTCATGTGCCGTGTGGGTGATCTTCTTATGTGCCGTGTGGGTGATCTTCTCATGTGCCGTGTGCATAGCGCAATTTTTATGCGCTTCTCATCATGTGACCTTTTCTGCAACCTCAGCTTCTTTATTATCATATTGCTACCAGACCCGCCCAATCAGATTGACACAAACCCTGTCTTGAATTTCCACAGATTACATTAGGTCCGTGACTATTAGTTTAAAACAAACCATGTTTTGAATCTCCTCCGATTAAATTAGATCAATAACTACCAGATTGACACAAACAATGTTTTGAATCTTTCCAGATTAAATTAGATAAATGGCTATCAGATTGACACAAAGTTTTAAATCTTCCCAGATTAAATCAGAACAATGAGTATCAGATTGACACAAACCATGTTTTGAATCTTCCCAGATTAAATCAGACCAATGACTATCAGATTGACACAAACCCTGTCTTGAATATGAACAGATTACGTTAGGTTCGTAACTATCAGATTGGCACAAACCACATCTTAAAACTCCATAGATTAAAACAGATCTATGACTATCAGATTGACACAAACCACATCTTAAATCTCCATAGATTGGATTAGATCCATGACTATCAGTTTGAGAAAAACCCTGTCTTGAATCTCCACAGATCACCTTCAGATGCGCCGGCCACCAGGTGCCTACGAAGAACCAGGTCAACAAAGAGATTGTGGATCCCCGCACCCGACGGAAGACTCTGGAGTCCAGCATTGTTGTCACCAAGGAGGAGGTGGACGAGTATTACGGCAAGGATGGGTACGGGTGCGAGTGCACCGCTTGGAACAATGTCCAGGGCTCACCCAACCCACAGAGCATCAAGAGCACACGAGGAGTGGTCGAGGTCGCATGTGAGTATCCGGGGGATTTAAGACTGTCCCGAGTTTGTTCATCGGTGTGTTCAGAGCCTTGTTTATCTTGCGCTGATCTGTCTGTCTGTCTGTCTGTCTGTCTGTCTGTCTGTCTGTCTGTCTGTCTGTCTGTCTGTCTGTCTGTCTGTCTGTCTGTCTGTCTGTCTGTCTGTCTGTCTGTCTGTCTGTCTGTCTGTCTGTCTGTCTGTCTGTCTGTCTGTCTTGATTATTTTGCGTTGAAGTTATTCTTGTAAAAGAGAAGCACAAGGTCAAGAGTTTGCATAACCAGCACACACATTCTGAGAAATCCATCACAGCCAGCCTTCATTGCGAAGAAGGCATCTGATTGAACAGAAGCCGACAGGTCCGCCAAACTAACGGCCTGTTGCAAAGTACTCCAGCTCTGAATGTCGCGCGTTCACTAGTGAAGTTTTTACGGAGATCCCTGGGGAAACTTTGGAGTTCGTACTTTGTGTGAGGCTGTCAGCGGGCAGGCAGCCGTTCTGCGAACAGACACCGAGTTCATCTCATCTCATCTCATCTCATATCATCTTTTTTTGATCCCTCTGGTTTCTTGCGGTGTCGAGGTGAAGTATAATTTACAGGAAAGAGTCTTCTTTTGCGCTTAATAAAACGAGATTGCCAGGGACTCTGTTGTTCCATGACCTTCTTTAGAGTAGGTCATGGTTATTTTGTCTGTCCATCGTTTACACGGTAGGTAACTTCTTTGCTTCCCGCCTGGTCTGCACATCATTGCCTGCTGTGGTATAGTGTCTGCTGACATCCGCGTTATATGGCCAAACTATTTCGCTTGTTGTTTTCCAGTAAAATCCAGAGGTCCAGTTCGATGGTTTAAAGTCATTGCAATTAAGCTGATCCTCTCCGTTTTAGCTTCAGCTAACTGCCGTCGGCAGCAAATCCGTCTCTATCACATTCTGACGGTGTCATTCTGTTTGCAGGGACACCGTCCATGTGGATACACAGACATGTATTTGTTGACTGACAAGTGAAGATATTTCTTCCCCTGGCAGGAAAGTTAAGTAGTTGTGGTTAGAGCAGGAACGCTGAAAACTGGGAGTATAGCCTCCCAAGCACCGCCACTCCCCCCCCCCACCCCACTCCCATTACCTTGAGGTAAATAGTTTAAATGACTCGCCTCTCCCACTTTCCCAAATATGGATATTTAAAAAAAAAATAAGGGGGGGGGGGGTGGGAGGCTGCCAAAAATTCAACAATGTTTTTTTAATGGTCACTCAGTCATAAAAGTCAACTAGTTAGACTTTCTGCATCTGATGGAGAGGTAACGAACCAACAGTCTGCATGCATGTAAGCCAGATCTGTAAAACGAATGTTCATGTGTTAATCTGACAGAGTGGAGGTGAAACGCCACATACCATACCTCGTTACACGATTAAGCACAGAAGCATTTCCGTAAAGCATTACCATATAATTAATACTACCACTACCACTACTTCCTACTGCTACTACCACCACCATTACCACCACCACTACTACCACCTCCACTACCACCATCACTACTTTCTGCTGCTACTACCACCACCACTACCACCACCACTACCACCACCACTATTACCACCACTACTACTACCACTACCACCACCACTACCACCACCACTACCACCACCACTACTACTACCACTACCGCCACCACTACCACCACCACTACTACTTCCTACTGCTACTACCACCACCACCACTACCACTACCACCACCACAAATACCACCACCACCAAATCAACAACGACTACTACTCTGCTACTGCTACAACCACCACCACTACTACTTCCTACTCCTACTACCACCACCACCACCACCACTACCACCACTACCACCACCACTACTACCACCGCCACCACTACCACTACCATTAACACTACCACCACCACCACTACCACCACCAAAACAGCAACAATTACTACTACTGTATCTGCCGCTGCCACTACTACTATTTCTGCCACAACAACCACCACTATTGTGCCGCCAAACACCGGCACAAAAGTAATTTATCTCGCGCCATTGCATCCAAGATTTCGGCTTGGCGCGTTATTCAACTTGTCAACAGATGAGATTCAATCTGTGCACGAATTTATTACGCGATGGCTGTTTTTTCCCTCCCTAAAACAAATCGAGACATTTCCAATCTAACAAGGTCTCTATTTCAAATATTGAATCAAGACGGCTTGCCGAGGCCAGTCCCAAGCTCTCAATTACCCCCAGTGTCGTTTTTTCTGATCCCACTGACTTTTAATTTCGCCCGCTATAACCTTCCACATTTTCAGAAATCTTCCCTGATTCAGCCTGTGTAAGCAAAATACAGCCCCAATTTCACGTGGCCTGCTGAATCGCAAACCTTAAAAAAAATATAAATTTGCGTACCCATTCACATAGCGGTTGCGGGTTGGTTTACAGCTAGGCTGCGATAACTGCGACCACGGCCCACGTGTCAGCAAAAAAATATCTATGGGAAAGCAGCCCACAAACCAACCAATAAACAACCTAACTACGGGGGCTGACATAAAACACATTACCGCCAGTAGCTGTGTGTAAGTCGAGTTGTCATGTCCAAAAAGAAATCTTTCCAAAACAAGGGATCGACTTATATGAAGGTTATAAAATATGGAAAATTGGGATAATCACTGGCAAGAGGCTGAAGTCCCAGCATAGACACATTTGAATACAATATAATAGACAGTGATCCGCAGGCCATTTGCTAGACCTCCACGGGCCGGATTGCCGCCAGTTGAATCGCCCTGTTCTACACAAGCGTCGCGGGAGCCGCAGTGATATAGCGGCTAGACGCTCGCCTGCGGATCTGAACGTCGTGTGTTCAGGTCCTGAGGGAACCGGACTTGTTTTCAAAAATGTCCTTGATCTTAGGCCGACTTACTCTTTTGTCAATGGGTACTAGCTGAAGTCTTGGGAAGTAAAGGCGGCATCGTGATGTTGACCGCGTCACCCACCGAGGGACGATTGCCCTATATGCCCAGTACACACTAAGATGTAAAAGAGGGTCCTTTACTTATTTGAATCATTCATCATCACTTGGCGATCCAATCCGCTAGCGAAAACGAACTCAAGCCAAATCAGACGAGCAGTGATCATGTTTCCCTAGCTGTCTAGTCTGCACGGCCAACTGACCAGCGAGCCTGTCTGACCGTCCAGCGACTGACCGTTTGATGATAGGCTCTTCAGCCAGAACGGCGCTGCCGGGGAAATACTCCACCTCCCTATCTGCAGGTTGTCCCGGACGGAATGCTCTCTTCACTGGCACGGTGACACACAGACGGTCTGCAGACGTGATCTGACTATTTAGGGAAAATGCCTTATTCTATCTTCATCCATCCATCTACCACTGCATCTATCTACGAACGTAACCATCGTCCCGCCCATTCATCTACCCACACCATTTATCCCATCATCCACTCAATTCTATTTTCACCGCTTCCTTCCATTATGGCTGTTACCAGCTTTGCACTTATGCTCGACTAATACTTTGTATAAAAATCACCCTTACTGTCTCTTTTTGATAGCTGACAGTAAGAGAGAAGCACTGTGTTACTAGACTCATGTTTTTACCTCATCTCATATTTGGTCGATCCATCCATCCATCCATCTACCATTCCATTCATCCACTAATACAGCCATCCATCATTCCATCCATTCATCTACCCCACCCATCTATCCAGGACACACTCATCCATTCACTCCACCATCCACACATGCTGTTTTCCCATCTATCCCTTCATCGCTCCCTTACATTCTGGTTGTTACCAGTCTTACTCTCGGGCTCGACTGATTACTTTTGTATAACAAGCATCCTTACTGTCTCTACTTGATAGCTGACAGTAAGAGAGAAGCATCTTATCATGAGACCCCTATTTTTACCAGATTCTATATATTAGCAATTCCATTAATCCACCAATATAGCCATCCTTTACCCATCCACTCATCTACCCACCCATCTATCTCACCACCTACTCGCCCACTCACCTCACCATCCACTCTAGCTATTTTTCCACGTCTCCCTTGCATTCTGTTTTTTAACCAGTTCTGCGCTCGGTTCGACTGATACTTTGTATAACAATCACCCTTACTGTCTCTGTTTCATAGCTGACAGTAAGTGAGAAGCATCGTGTCTTGAGACCCCTGTCTTTACCTGATTTCATATATCAGCCGATCCATCCATCCACGAGTATAGCCATCATTACGTCTATTTGTCTACCCGCCCATCAATTGCGCTACCCACTCATCCATTCACCCCACCATCCACGATCTAATCTATCTATCTATCTATCTATCTATCTATCTATCTATCTATCTATCTATCTATCTATCTATCTATCTATCTATCTATCTATCTATCTATCTATCTATCTATCTATCTATCTATCTATCTATCTATCTATCTATCTATCTATCTATCTATCTATCTATCTATCTATCTGTCTGTCTGTCTGTCTGTCTGTCTGTCTGTCTGTCTGTCTGTCTGTCTGTCTGTCTGTCTGTCTGTCTGTCTGTCTGTCTGTCTGTCTGTCTGTCTGTCTGTCTGTCTGTCTGTCTGTCTATCTATCTATCTATCTATCTATCTATCTATCTATCTATCTATCTATCTATCTATCTATCTATCTATCTATCTATCTATCTATCTATCTATCTATCTATCTATCTACCTATCTACCTATCTACCTACCTACCTACCTACCTACCTACCTACCTACTTACCTACTTACCTACTTACCTACCTACCTACCTACCTACCTGTCTGTCTGTCTGTCTGTCTGTCTGTCTGTCTGTCTGTCTGTCTGTCTGTCTGTCTGTCTGTCTGTCTGTCTGTCTGTCTGTCTGTCTGTCTGTCTGTCTGTCTGTCTGTCTGTCTGTCTGTCTGTCTGTCTGTCTGTCTGTCTGTCTGTCTGTCTGTCTGTCTGTCCGTCCGTCCCTCCGTCCGTCCGTCCGTCCGCCCGATCGCCCGCCCGCCCGCCCGTCCGTCCGTCCGTCCGTCCGTCCGTCTGTCTGTCTGTCTGTCTGTCTGTCTGTCTGTCTGTCTGTGTAGATAGAAAGAAAGAAAGAAAGAAAGAAAGAAAAAGTAGCGAAAACAAAAACATCTCAGGACTCGGGTGTAAGAAAATATTGATTAAAATAACCACATGCTGTAGTACTGAAAGATTCAAAATCAGACATCACAGCGAGCAAGGCAAGGGGATGAACACCTTCGCCACAGAGACACGCCAGTTTATTCAGGACAATCTGCTTGACATGAATTCTAAAGGAGCAACAAATCAAGAGGTCGTCATAAAAACAAGGTCTGCTCACCTGTCACTAATAATAATTTAAAAAAAGCGTGCGCTGGGACCAACATTTTTTCATCTTAACTGACTGTTTTTCTTCATCACATTCCTCTTAAAAAATTGTACTTAAAGATAAATAACTAGTACTTTATTTTTAATTCACCCCAAACAAAAGAAACCATGCAGTATCCGGCAGAGTTCAGTATTCTAGTGGTGTTGTGAGTTGGAATTAGGGTTAGCGGTAGGGTCACAGATTAGGGTTAGAGATTAGGGTTAGCTGTAGGGTCACAGGTTAGGGTTAGTGATTAGGGTTAGCTGTAGGGTCACACGTTAGGGTTAGAGATTAGGGTTAGCGGTAGGGTCACAGGTTAGGGTTAGAGGTTAAGGGGCATGGTTAGTCAGTGTCCCTGAGGAGGCTATGGTTGACAAAGATCCTAACCCTAACCCCAATCCACAACATCCGTAGAATATTTGACTTTTCTTGAAACTCTGGGATTTCCTTTGTTGTAGTGTGAATTAAAAATAAAGTACACTAAAGGCTATATTTCAAGGAACATTGGAAAGAGGGGGGGGGATGGGATCGAAGAAGAAAGGGTCGGTTGGGGGAAGGGGTGGCAGGGAAAAACCTGAAATGACAACATGAAGAAATTGACGGCAAGAATTTATTACACACTTGTTCAACTAGTGGAAAACAAAGATGGCGGGTTTTGGGTGCTAGTGCTTCCACCGATACACCTCCACGACCCCAACAGGTCAAAGGTTATGTATGTACGAATGATACTCACAACGCCCGACTGTTTCTCTTCACAGATCTCAGGAAAAGGTTCGAACGGTTCCCGATGGCGGCGCGAGTAGAGGAGGGACAGCCAGCTGAGTTGGCTTGCCTGCCGCCAGAGGGCAAACCTCTGCCAACGGTAAGAACTCGTACTCAACTCTCTTCAACTCTTTAATATCTCCGTGTGGATTCTCTCCTATTGTAACGTGAGGAATAGATCCTAAGCCATTCAAAGAAGCATGTTGTAAGAGTAGACTAATTAGAGGTGTTTCCTGGGAGTCGGAGGGCATCTGCCTGAGAGGGACCAACAATCAGCATTCAGAAAAGTCAGGTCTGTAAAACGGACGTGCACATGAAACTCAAGTTCTGAAATAAGACTACCGTTCATAAGTGGACGAAGATCCAGGACGTGCGTCTGAAGTTTAGAGCCGGCAAATGCCCAGAAGAACAAGAATGAGAAGACTACAAAGTCTCTAAAAGAGTACAGACAAGTGTGCTATGATGTTGATCCGTGGTTCAAACCTCAAACCTCAGAATTCAAACCTTAAAAGGTTTAGCATATTTTTTCCCTTTCAAATGTCAAAATCTTTTTGTGTGCATCACCGGGTTTAACGTCTGCCGAAGTTTTGCGTTTCTTTTTTGACGAAATTTTCCTTAAACTGCTGCTCGTTTGCCATACGCTCCTCACGTGTGCTTGTCTCTGTATTAAACGTTTCGGAGAAACCAGAAACCATTTGGACGTGTGCGGTTGTCTTGGCATACACAACAACATTATGTTGCAACTGCGGGGTAATCCTTTCCATCTGGCGTCGGAGAGGAAAGGGATGTTGGCTAAACAGCTTTGATGCCGACGGGAAGCATGTGTCAGCCTGAAACCGCACATGTTATTTCATCACCATCATCAGCTGTATAGTTCTTTATCGTCATCAGTGTCCTGTTATCATCATCGCCATCATCATCGTCATTATCATCATCATCATTGTGATCATCATCATCGTTAGTCAGTCATTCTCATCGTCATGATCAAAGTTACCATCATCACCGTCGTTGTCGTTATCTTCATCATCATCAGCCTCTTCCTCTTTATCGTCATTCACATTAGCATCACAGCTATCATAGCATAACATCATGGGCCTGATCTCCCCCGTCCACCACCCGCCCGCGTTACGACACCCCCCCCCACCTGCCCCCTTGCGGGTTCAGGACTCTATTTGGAGGTGGGAAATAATTAACTACCCCCATTTGGAGGGGCGGAACTGACTAACTGATCCCATTTGTAGGGGCAGAACTAACTAACTGATCCCATTTGTCGGAGAAGAACTGACTAACTGACCCCATTTGGAGTGGCGGAACTGACTAACTGATCCCATTTGTAGGGGTGGAACTGACTAACTGACTCCATTTGGAGGGGTGGAACTGACTAACTGACCTCATTTGGAGGTGTGACACTGACTAACTGACCCCAATTGGAGGAGTGGAACTGACTAATTGACCCAATTTGGAGGGGTGAAAATGACTAACTGACCCCATTTGGAGGGGTGGAACTGACTAACTGACTCCTTTTAGAGGGGTGGAATTGACTAACTGACCCCATTTGGAGGTTTGGACCTGAATAACTGACCTCATTTGGATGGGTGGAACTGACTAACTGACCACATTTGGAGGGGTGGAACTGACTGACCACATCTGGAGGGGAGAAACTGACTGACCCCATTTGCAGGGGTGGAACTGAATAGCTGACCCCATTTGGAGGGGTGGAACTAAATAACTGACCCCATTTGGAGGGGTGGAACTGAATAACTGACCCTATTTGGAGGGGTGGAACTGACTAACTGATCCCATTTGTAGGGGTGGAACTGACTAACTGACCCCATTTGGAGGGGTGAAACTGAATAACTGACCTCATTTGGAGGGGTGGAACTGACTTACTGACCCCATTTGGAGAGGTGGAACTGACTAACTGACCCCTTTTGGAGGGGTGGAATTGACTAACTGACCCCATTTGGAGGTTTGGGCATGAATAACTGACCTTTTTTGGACGGGTGGAACTGAATAACTGACCACATTTGGAGGGGTGGAACTGACTGACCACATTTGGAGGGTTCGAACTGAATAACTGACCTCATTTGGATGAGTGGAACTGACTAACTGACCACATTTGGATGGATGGAACTGACTAACTGACTGTATTTTGAGGGGTGGAACTGACTAACTGACCTCATTTGGAGGAGTGGAACTGACTGACTACATTTTGAGGGGTGGAACTGACTAACTGACCCCATTTGGAGTGGTGGAACTGACAGACCGCATTTGGAGTGGTTAAACTGACTAACTGACCCCATTTGGAGGGGTGAAACTGACTAACTGACCCCATTTGGAGGGGTGGAACTGACCAACTGACTGTATTTGGAGTGGTGGAACTGACTAACTGACCCCATTTGGAGGGGTGGAACTGACTAACTGACTGTATTTGGAGGGGTGGAACTGACTAACTGACCTCATTTGGATGGATTACTGACTGCTTGACCCCATTTGGAGGGGTGGAACTGACTAACTGACCCCATTTGGAGGGGTGGAACTGACTAACTGTCCCCATTTGGAGGGGTGGAACTGACTAACTGACTGTATTTGGAGGGGTGGAACTGACTAACTGACCCCATTTGGAGGGGTGGAACTGACTAACTGACCCCATTTGGAGTAGTGGAACTGACAGACCGCATTTGGAGTGGTGGAACTGACTAACTGACCCCATTTGGAGTGGTGGAACTGACTAACTGACCCAATTTGGAGTGGTGGAACTGACAGACCGCATTTTGAGGGGTGGAACTGACTAACTGACCCCATTTGGAGTGGTGGAACTGACTGACGTTTTTTCCAGACATTTCCTGATGAGAGCGACGTTCTGCAAGTTTCTCCTGCACGATGATGGGGCTGCATACAATAATTTAAACACTACTTAATACAAAAATACCTAAATATCCCCCCCCACCCCCCAAAAAAAAATAATAATTAAAATCAGGCTAAATAAATGAAAACCCCTCATTTGGAGGGGAGGAGCTGACTGACTGACCGCATTTGGGTGGGAGGAACTGACTAACTGACCCCTAACACGTTTGTCGTAAAAGGCGACTAATAAGAAATTTAATTGAATCAGGTGTGAGCCGAAAGGCGCAAATAACGCACACTAGCTACAAATGACAAACCATGGTTCCAACCTTCCTCTGAAGGGCGAACGCAAAAGACAGGCGTCTTTCAGCCCAGAGAACATGGCCCGATGAAAGCGTGGACGAAGCTCAAAGGCGGAATGGCCAGCTGAGTATGATCTGTTTTTACAAAACACATATCAGAGATGGCCACCTGAGATGTCCTGCCAAATCTTAACCCTCCCGGCGACTCTCTCCGGGCTAAAACAACAAGCAGCAGGTGTTTATAGCTGTATAAATTACCCTGAAGTCACCTAGTCTGGTATCTGGATCCTCTGCTTCTCGTGTTGCTCGTGCTGGATTCAACATCCCAGGACACTGGCGCTACAAGAACTGGAAGCGCTCCTGTGGCGAGTCTGGGAAAGATCCAGTGACGATACAGGCCCGTAGTGTTTGCTATCGCTGACCGCTTCCAACATCTTTATTTAGCGAGCTAGGCTGTTGGCATTTGGACCAAGTCTGTTATTGCCCAAGGGATGTAGACTTATTGAGAATGTGGCTGTTATGCTCTTAGTGAGGAAGGGAAGGGGGAGGGGTGCGAGGGATGGATGGAGGACAGGAGGGAGTGAGACTGATAGAAGGAGGGCGGGAAAGAAAGACTGATGGTGAGAGAGAAGGAAAGAGGGAGGGATAAAGAGTGAGAGTAAGGGGCGAGATAGAAAGTGTGAGAGAGAGAAGGAGGGGGGGGGGGGTGAAGAGAGAGACAGAGAGAAAAATGGAGAATGCGAAGGAGGAAAAAAATGAGAGCGGGAGGGAAAGAGAGATGTGGAGGGAATAAGAATCGGCAAGAGGAAACGGAGAGAATAGAGAAGGGAGATGGGGTGGGGAGAGAAAGATGTTGGTAGAGCACATTAAAATGATAATTTATCAGATGAAATATATACTTAACAATTTCACACCTGGTTCTTAACTCTGATATTGGACTATAAATTAGAGTCGATGTGAATGCCTAGAGTTTTGGGTATATTGGAGAATAAATACTATATTTCGTGGCAAAATAAAAAATGGAAAATGTTACTGAAGATTGTGTGTGCGCTTGCACGTGTGCTTACAAGTTTGAGCGGGTGTGCAAGCGAGTGTATGTAAAAAGATCTCCCAACTCGCCGTTTGAATTCGTTTATTGACTAAGAAAACACAGCGGTCAACTAAACCGGACATTCCAACCTTCTCCATCCACGGCCCGAACAACCGGTTGATTTCCATCGTAGCTCTAGATATCTCCTACAGATGGCCTGACATTTCCACGTTCTCTCTGCGCCCCAGCGGATCTTAAACTTTCATTTAGTGGGGAGGCCACAGTCTCGGAGTGCTTTTAGGGAAAACCCGAAAGTGGACAATGAGTATAAAATTGACAAACACTTAACGCAGGATTATTCCTCTGATGAGTTCGCCATTTAAAAGGCGGCCGACTCCTTGTCTTGTGGTTTACAGCTAGGCTGCAATATTTGCACAGTTCTGCCCTACACATCCAGTTTCAGCAAACCACCTAATAGTCAGCTTTTACGACATGTTTGTTAGAGAGCAGTGGGTATTTTCTCCACCCCCTACCCCCTCCGCTTTTCAAAATGTCAAGTGAAAACTGGAACCCACCCGGGGAGTGGCTTACTATGAATTCCTCTGAAACAATCCCGAGTCACTGATGATCTGGTGAACACCCTCATCACAATTGTTAGTCTCTAGCTCAGTTCTTGTTTTGGATTTAGACTGAGAACCGCTACTGAAAATGTTAGAATTTGGAAATACTTTTCAATGTGGAATGTAACCTTTGACTCGCAGTAGATACAATCTGGACCGTAAACTCTGGAATCGCTAGTTGTGAGCAGATAGAAGCTTGGTACAGCTGGGCGTGGACACAGCCGCCCGAGGAAATGCCAGGAAATGTTGGAAAGGAAATAGGCCAGAAGGTAGTCTGGGAAGACGTTTGACTCATAAAGCA